CTAATATATCTATCTTGGACTCTTCATCTGTGGGAGAGATGAATTTTGATGCGCTTTTTTTTTTTTAAACAAAACACCAAAAGCAGTGGAAGAAATACGCGGGACACACCGGCACAGCAGCAGCAGGTAGACGGAGGGGGCGGACGAATGTGTACAGCAGGCATGCAGGGGTAAGGAAGGCAACACTTCAGCGATTGCTGCAGACCTCGAGCGGGTACAGCAGCAGCGGTAGATACACCTGTTGTGATCAACCCTCTGCGCAGCAGGGTACCCGGTGCTACTTCCTAGGGCACAAACCGAACCCGCACCAGATCACCGAAGAAATTTTCCGCGGGCGTCACGCGTACGTCACTCACGGACGAGGACGGAGTGACAGGAGCATGAGATGTGCTGACGGCACAGCAACAACGCAAGGCATCAATTCTACGTTGCGTTCAATATTTCATGGCGAATCATGCACTGCGTGGTAACCTCACCCTCCCACCACTCTGAAACACCCGATAGGCGAAAGTGCTGCACCCTTATAGAGATAATGGTTCGATAAGCAGATTGAATATTCAGGTTGGCTCATAACCGCAGGAGGGGGTCCAGTCCCCCCCTCCTATGTGACCCGGTCGGGTCGTCTAGCTAGTAGAAGTGAAGGATAGGGGCCAGAGGGGCAGACGACAGAGTCCGATGATGGGAGAAGAAAAAAAGAAAAAAGCTCTGAAAAGTACAAAATGGCGCACTGATGAGAGGAGGTCGTCAGAATTGCCGGTATGCACTGGCACTTATTATCACTGTCATTGATTCAATACCATGCAGTTGCGGTGCCTGGTGAAACCGCCAAGAACAGAGCCACTATGCAGGTCCAGAAATTAGATAGGACGCTGTAGCCGGCACGCACTATTGAGGGAGTGAGGATGCATCTCATGTACTACAAAATGAGAGGCTGAGGCGAAACATGCCAGGCTCCTCGGCTCTCGGACTCCGAAGAGCGATCGACTAGCTGCCGATATGCGGACGCCTCTGGGCCGTCACTCACTCAGCCTCCGAACCCATCACTCGAAACGGTTGTGCCCAGGTCACAATATTATACTCCCACAAGGAAAAATAAACTACATAAACAGAAACACTATATATAATACGCATTCAACACCCATTTGAGATATACCCACTACCCACTACCCACTACCCACTACCACTACCCACTACCCACTACCACTACCACTACCACTACCACTACCACTACCACTACCCACTCCCACTCCCACTCCCACTCCCACTCCCACTCCCACTCCCACTCCACTACCACTACCACTACCACTACCACTACCACTACCACTACCACTACCACTACCACTACCACTACCACTACCACTACCAACTCCCACTCCCACTCCCACTCCCACTCCCACTCCCACTCCCACTCCCACTCCCACTACCACGGTCCAACGGGATGTGGTGGAGTCTTTTCAGCGAAGGAGGGCCTGGACTTAAGGAAGCTGGACTTATTTCGAGTCTCTTTGAAGTCAACTACACTGATGATTTATATCGGTGATACCAGCTGGTGCTAAGCATACTCATTCACTCTTTTGCTTCTAATCACTTCAGCGGATCAGCGAATGAGCGCTCACAGTGCTTCTGCCGGGTGGGTAGGAGCTCCAATCAATCCACGGTCACACGGAAGGTTTCCTCCGCCTGAGGCCCCCTACCCACCCCGCTTGAGGTGCTCGCCTTCGGCAAGTAACGCGAGAAAGAGTGCACCGCGCTCTCTTCCCTCAAGATGTACCTCCTGGGAAATCGTGGAAAAACAGAACTTTCGCTGACTCTATGGATTCATTGCTTCAATCTATATTCGACTCTTTTCTTCGATAGAGATGGATTTGTTGGGTCATACTGATGATATAAAAAATATGTTTGCCGAGAAACTACAAATATTTCTCGCCCCTGCCCCCAGTGCACCGCTCTCTTCCCTCAAAAAGTGTCTCCACTTTCAATTTTTTTATTGCCGAGAAACTAGAAACATTTTTTGCCCCTCCCGCCAGTTTCCCCCCCCCGGTGTTTGCCATCGGGGTTGGGTTTTCATCGCTTGGCAACGGCGTTTGCAAAACAAGCCAATTCACTTCGTGAACTCGGCAACCAGGTTGCCGTTTTTTTTACCCCTTTTGTTTTTTCTGAGGTACCCATGATGGTGGTCGAGTAGATCATGTTATGCGGGGTCGAGAACCCTCACTCCGCGCAAGGGGGATGATCGCACCGCGTTATGTTAACATGGTCAAGCACCCTCGAGGCAGTAACGCAGTGGTTACAACTGCCTCTGGAAGTGAAAGCACCAGAAAGTTAATTAAGTCATCAGCAGCTGTCATCCCTTTGATTCTTGCTTTGGGCGGGTGTGGGAAGCGTCCTCCTTTATTTTTGTTTTTGTTTTATTTTGATCGGTTTCCGAGAGCTCTTTTCTCGAACGGTCGGGGCGATACCTGTTCTTTTTTTTTCATCATTTTGTTTTCTTGTTCCGAGTGGTTTGTACCCTATTTTTGTTTTGTTTCCCCGCGGCGTCGTACGTGCCGGGTTTCGAGACCACGGGCTCCCCATTGTTCGTGGACTACAGAGCTAATGTGAGAAACAACAACAACAACAATCCGTACGGAAGGAGGTAAGCACAAGATGTCGAACACCCTCAGCAGGATGCAGTGCAACCTTCATGCGACTCGCCGAATACCTCACGGCGCTTCGCGCTTGGTAATGTGAGAGCCTGGTTCGGTGAGAACCCGGCGTGCTCCGTCCCGGCTTTGTAGGGATGCGAGGTCAATGGTCTTAACGACTACGGCATGCACGACTATGAGTACACCCCCCCCCAAGTGCTCTTCTATCAAAAAGTGTCGCCACTGCTGGAAAAGATATTTTTTGCCGATGAACTAAAAATATTTTTTGCCCCTCCCTCCCCCCCCCGCACTGGCGCGCGGATATTTGATATTTACCGACCCACCTCCGCCCGCCTCTCGTAAATAGATGTATGCGTGCAAACGTCCTTGCTCACCTGTTCCTGTGGCGATCAATCCATCTCTGCACCGAGGAGCAGCAGAGCATCTCCACGAGCTCATCCCTGGCTCTCACCATAGCGTTCGCCGTCCTCGCCCCGAGCCCGTCCCCCGGGTAGGGGTCGAGCTTCTTGAGGGCGGGGAGGGAGGGGCGTCGCCTCTGCGGGTCTCGCCCTCCGGACGACGGGAGCGAGGCTTGGTCGTCTTGGCCGACGTCATGGTCGGCTTCGTGGCTGAAGAGCAGCGGCGTGCGCTCGCTGCTTTCTGCTGCTCTTCCCCCGCCTCTGCCGCTGCCGTTGCTCTTCACGCCCGTCTCGACAGAAGACCTTCGCGACATCCTTTAGGATATATATATATATATATATATATACGTGTAGGTTTTGAATGAACGCTCAAAAGAGTCACCCACACCGCAAGGTCACTCGCGGCAAAACGGTTATGGCAGGCGGGGCCGGCCTGCTTCCAAAAAATTGAACCCTGCAGCCAACGGAGGGCCGACCGGAGGGCGACGTCGCCGCGCGTAGACAGTCGATCGGTTCCTTGCCTGAATGTCGCTGCCAGCGTTGTGTATCGCCACAGCATGCAGGCAGACAAGGAGACCGGAAGGGTCAAGAGTGCACGATGATCAGATTCGATCGGGCGGCAGCTGAGACGTCACAGCTTATGTAGGTCATGGGTATGCAATACTTTTACCTGTGATACCACGACTGCCTACCCAGAATTGGCACTCAACGGGGTGAGTTCAAGCCCTTCAGGAAATTGTTTCAACGGCGGAGTGGACAATGACGCATCGAACTGCTGTACCCTTATCACCGAGTACAAGTATGCAATATAGTGCATCCAAACACTGATGCTGTGGGGTATTAGCGGCGCCACTCAACGAGGGCGGCTGCAGCAGTACAGCAGCAAACACCCCGTGATCTGCACCCTATGGCACCCGGATCTGAAACGGCGGTGAAAGCGCTCCTCCGTACCGCAGGCGTGCGGACATAAACGGCGGCGATGATCGTGATACGCGTAGAACGTATCTGCTGCTACTGTAGAGTAGTGCCACCACTGCTGTGTTAAGGGTGGGCGATGGGGTCGGAGAAATACAACAGCAGCTGTAGTAGCCGTCACAGGTTTTTTCGATGAAGGATCGAGCATATCATACAATCGAGGGGAAGTTGATGGGTTAGGCCATCATCGCACCCGTTCCGACAGCAGTCGAGTTCTTCTGTCTGCAACCCAGGAGCAAGACAAAGCACCGAGCGTAGGGTGCTTGGCGTGTTCACGGTAAAAATTGGCCAAGGACGGGAATATGCGCAATGTATGCCGTAGTTGCGTACCTTGACGGAGTGCCGTGAAGTGCTTTCCTATGAAATGAAAAGCAAGAGAATCCTACATAACGATGCTTCGATGGGTTGTGGTTTGGCCTCTCGGCAATACCCTTTTCCAATGAAACAAACCACCACCACGGTCTACCCCACCAACAGAACCGAACGGTGAATGCCGCGGCAGCTGTGAAGGCAACGCAGCAGCCAGCAAAAGAGGGAACAAACCGACTACTAGGTGACTGCTCTGCAGGATGCAGAGATGCGGAGACACTCTTTCCCGCGCCGCAGCAAAATAGCGTTTTCGGTGACCGCTCTCGTCGTGGTCTCTTTTCATCTGTCTCTCTCACCTCTCGCCTCCAGAACTTGGACACTGGTCTTGGCCGAGAAACAGCTAGCAACTGATCCTCTCTCGCTCTCTCTTTCTCTCTCTCGAGGCGAGTCGGCACAGGACGTCCGCGGATACACACAGCTGACGAAGGCCTGGTGATATGGTGCACCCTCACGCCACGCACAAATCTCTCTGGTGTCTCGAGTAAGAAATCCGTGCCGGTCCCGTGTGCAGATCTCCTCTGACTGTAAACATCCATACCGAACTTTATGGAAAACCAGTGTTCCTTAGCTGCCGGCCCCCCATGAAGCGCCTCGCCGCACAACACCAGCAACACGACCAACTGAAGCGGAGGCGGAGTAGAACAACTGAGGACCTCATCCCATGAAGACGAGGCCATGACGAATCCAATTGTTATCCTCGCCCAGGCGCGGCGGCGCGCTCGGTCTGTAGCCTGCGTGGCCACTGTTATCTCCCTCATGTTCTTGTTGGTTACTGGCGGGCTAGTCTCTGCTTCTTCTCACGCAGCTCTTAGCGGGAACACCGGGCCGCCGCCGCACCACCAGCACCCTGCTGCTGCCGACTTCCAATCGCAGCAGCAGCAACAGTCGCACGCAAGGCGACAGCGAAAAGACCAAAGCGAAGGCACAACGACAACTGTGCGGCCACTGCTGTACCCCGAAGTGGACGATTCTCGACATGGAGTGCTGCTCCCCCCGAACAGTATCACTCCGCCACACCACAGCAGCAGCAGCAGCAGCAGCGGCAGCAGCAGTAGCGCTTCAACCTCTGCACAGACAACGGTGCTGCTGCATGAAGAGCAGCGGGAGAAGCAACAGGCAGGGAGGCAGAACCTGAAAGGCAGCAGAAAGCGAAGGGCGGCGGCGGCAGCAGCAGCAGGAGAGGACGACGACGACGACGACGACCAGCAGGGTGACCAGCCACCTCAAGACCAAGACGACGGAACGCCGGCTCCAGAACCCACCCCTCTTCCTACCCCCGACCCCACCCAAGCGCCCACGCCCGATGCTACCCAAGCACCCACGCCCGACCCTACCCAAGCACCCACGCCCGACCCTACCCAAGCACCCACGCCCGACCCTACCCAAGCACCCACGCCTGACCCTACTGAGGCACCCACTCCTGACCCCACTCAAGCACCGGTCCTTGCGGCAACGCCGGCACCCACGCCAGCAGCGGAGGAGGCCACCCCGGCGCCCGCGGCCGCGGCAACTCCAGGGCCTGTTAACGATGAGGGAGGCGGGGACGACGACAACAAGGTGTGTCCGAAAATGGAGGAAGAAAAGGAGACAGAACCCCTTAGAAGGAGACAGAACCCCTTAGGAGACAGAACCCGTTGCACTTGTTCGGCGCTGCACCAAGCTCTAGAGAGTAACGGAGAGCTTCACTCAAGCAGAGCAGCAAGGCAGAGCTCCTGCTGTTGCTGTAGCGCGTGCATTCGGGCGACAACAAATAACCCCGGTCATTCTCGATGTATGTTTGGAGCACCCGACATTTGCATGAGGTTTCTTGCCTGCGGGTCCGCAGGTCGCAGCTATTTCGGCAACACTATTTGTGCAATAGGCAAGCTGTGTGGTAGGTACATAAGCCATCGCACTTCGGCAGGTGATGTTGCACGATGGGGATGCCAAGCGTGTCGCCCTGCCACGGTATATACTGCTATAGCCAGACTAAGTTAGCCTGTGACCACGGGAATCGACCGCGTCAAGTGTTGGACTGGTACGGACAGAAGAAGGTACTCAGTAGAGAGAATGGAACGGTTTTTATTGTGAAGGCAACAACAACAACAACAAAACAACAACAAAAGCCACGCGACGGCAATAGCACGTGGTTGACTCTTGAAGTTCATTCCTGCCGACTAGTCGACCTGTAGGATTATTTCGATGTCCGCAACTTCTTTTTCACCTTTCCCTCACGGTACTTGTTCACTATCGGAAAGAAAAAACATTTAGGCTTTGAGGGTGGTCCCCCAATACTCAAACAAGGTAAACTTGCCTCATTTTACTTGAACGAAAAAAAAGTTATTACAGGACTAGCACCTTCTACGACCTTCAAAACTATTCTTGGATAGAACTCGCATACCAAACCTCCTTAAGGACTTGCGACACATTCGCTTGTTTGTATGTATATAACAGTACTAGCCTCTTGCAGCAAGAAGGTACGCTCTTGACGCTACCACAGGAACGCTTTTCCCATTTTTTCTTCCCCCCTCCCCTCCGGAAAGGAACGATTGGCCATCGGTGATCGGTCCTGTGGGAACAATGCTCCGTCCTCTCGAGGACGCGTGGTCAATGGTCTAACCGCTAAGACATGCAAAACATAAGAGTACGCCCCCCCCCTCCCCTCCGCCCCTCCCGGTGTTTGCCATCGGGGTTGGGTTTTCGTCGCTTGGCAACGACGTTGTAAAACAAGCCGTCCCCCCCGGTGTTTGCCATCGGGATTGGGTTTCGTCGCTTGGCAAAGACGTTGTAAAACAAGCCATTTCACTTCGTGAACTCGGCAACCAGGTTACCGTTTGTTTTTTTTTACCTCCGTTGTTTTTTTT